AAATGCATATTCCCCCTTTGTTTGGCACACAGCCGCCCAGAAAAAAACAGAGATAAAAACCCCTTATTGAGGAAAAATACAGCTGAAAACCTGTACCCCTAGCCTTGTCATGTGTGCCAGAGGGTGGATTTCGGGTTTCATCCAATATGCTAAATTAGACTTAATAAATAAAAAAAATATATTTATGCACGACTGAACTGAGGATAGTCCAGCATAGAATAATTGCTCACCGCAGACTTCTGCTTTTATACGTACAAATCATGTGATTAACATAAAGCCAACAATTGGCTGTTATCATCATGTGAAGACAATAGTTTCCCGCTATACTGATGAACCGCGGGATACTTTATTTGTATGGCAATACACACATAGTGTAGATTTTTAAAAATATGAGAAATGGGAAGATTTTGTTGAAGATTTCACCAAGGCACTGCTGCTTTCATGACAATTTTAAGAACAAGAATTGAAAATGAATAGATATTTGTAAGTAGACAGTTGAACAGAATTAATTTTTGGAAGGATACATTAGCTTACATTGGTAGTGAACAGTTTATGATATTCACTCCATAATATAATTTTCCATACGCATCAGAGCAACTTGAAATACTCACATATGTGTACATGGGTATAACCATCATATAAAAGATAGATCTCACACTAACACAACTACATACAATTCATAGCATTAATTCATTTAAAAAAAATAAAGAACTTACCTCAAAATATTTCTTTAAACTGTGAAGATGTTCAAGATTTATTTTCTCTTCAATCTGAAAATAAATAATATATAAATTGCAAGTTAACAATAACAAAATGATATGAACACATTTCAATGTTGACAGTCACTGGTAGACACAGAATTTATTTATCAGGTTTCTAACATGTATCCTAAAATGCCAAAACATAGCTCTTCTAATGACTAGACAAATTATTTTTGTAACAAGTCATTGTCAATGACACGTCCCCGTTCCGTTCATATTTGAGTAACATAGCAGATCATGACCGAAATGCACCTGCATATGTACAACACATTGTACTAAATCTGAACAAAATCCATTCTTGCATGACTGAGATCCGGTTTCGGAATTGTGAAAATATGTGATTTTGATGCATTTTCGGCCTTAAAATGGCCATCATTCAGCTATTGCTATAATCAGATCATGAAACAAATGCACATACATATTTGTGACATAATGTACCATGTGTGTGTGAAGTTTAAACTCGATCAATCCAGACATGTCTTGGATACGGATCCAGAACTGAATTCTTTAAAACAAAATGGCAGCCAGTCGGCCATTTCAAACTTAATCCGAAATCCTATTATGTTTAATGCATGTACCAAATTTGAACAAAATCCGTCCATGCATAACTGAGATCCGGGTTCGGAATGGTGAAAATGTGCGATTTCAATGCATTTTCGGCCTTAAAGCGGCCGCCATTTGGCTATCGTTAATGAGATCATGAAACAAATGCACATACATATTTGTGACATGATGTACCTTGTGTGTGTGAAGTTTGAACTCGATCAATCCAAGCATGTCTCAGATAGTGATCCAGAACTGAATTCTTTAAAACAAAATGGCCGCCAGCTGGCTATTTCAAACCCGATCCCCCCCCCAAAAATGACGTGCATCAAGGTCCTATTATGTTTAATGTATGTACCAAATTTTAACAAAATCCGTCCATGCATAACTGAGATCCGGGTCCGGAATGGTGAAAATGTGCGATTTTGATGCATTTTCGGCCTTAAAATGGCCGCTATTCGGCTATCGCTAATCGGATCATGAAAAAAAATGCATGTGCATATGTCCCATAGAATGTGTGATAAATGAGTGAAGTTTGAATTTAATCGGTCCATGCATGTTCGAGATACAGGTAATCACGGACAGACGCACGGACGCACACAGGGCAAAACACAAGTCCCCGGTGACTAAAAACTGTTTGAAATATAATCAATCTGAATATTCTCACTATTGGTATGTACTGAGTGTTCCATGCATTCACCAATATGCATTTTTTTAAATTGCATTTGAGGATTTTACAATTTTACAACTTAAGGTAGTAATGCAGAGGATTTATGTTCGCCACTGAATTACCGTGACGATTGCTTGCTCATTTACTGTGTGCAAAGCAATCATAGAACTAGCTAGCCTCTATATAACCATAAATACATTGTCAATGACATAGTGCCCATTTGTACTAAACATAGGAGATATCACATGACTACCAAAGCAATATCTATGATATCAAACTACATGTATGAGATATGGTTTTGTGCGTTCATTGAAAATAGACGATTACCAGCCAGCCATTTTTGATGGTGATAAAAATGCATGTCCGATATGATATGTAATGTATGAGTGATGTTTGAACACATGTCAGAGATGTGGATCCAGAACTGTCTTTTTCACAATGAAATATAGCCACCATTTGACCATTTCAAACCTAATTCAAAAAATATAGCCACCATTTGGCCATTTCAAACCTAATTCAAAAAATATAGCCACCATTTGGCCATTTCAAACCTAATTCAAAAAATATAGCCACCATTTGGCCATTTCAAACCTAATTCAAAAAATATAGCCACCATTTGGCCATTTCAAACCTAATTCAAAAAATATAGCCACCATTTGGCCATTTCAAACCTAATTCAAAAAATCAAATGACAGGCAATAAAGTTTCCACAATGTCAAATGTATATACATTTTTGTACCATGTTTGAACAGAATCTGTTATTTTATATGTATTTATTTATTATTCACATTTACGAATGCTGACATGAGACAAAGAAAACATCATCAGATAAACAATGAGCATACAAGAGATATTTAGTGTTCACCAAAGACTGGAACAACACACAAACAGATTTTATTGTTCCCGTTTGATAGAATGCCTCCTGAACCTACTGCTGGGTGTGCAGTAAGCTGAGAGAATGAACACACAACCTTGCTGATATGAGGTGAACTGAGCACGCTCAGGTACAAGTAACTATAATAATCTTTTTCCTTGTGATGAGAAGAATTAATTTATTTATTTCAATAAAATTACAAATTACAAAATAACTGCAATATTATTAGATGGTATTTGTTGACGTGGTCAGCAATTCTAGCTGAATTCTTGGTTGGACTAATTTCACACTGAAAACTATGAACATTTGCCTTAATTTATTCATAGATTTACAGAGAATACCATTTTTGCTTTATTACACTGTACAAGCATATGTGCCAAATATGTAAAGTTTCTCATCAAAAAGCATACAAATAGAAACAGCATAATTGCACCCAAGATGTTACTGTATAAAGAATTGCTTCTAATAGAACAACTATGGTAAGTACAAAATGGATGATTGTTATTATTATGATCATTGTTATATAAGTTTAGAATTGATTGTTCAGACAGACTAAATTAAGCTTGCTACAGACTATTACAATATTTGCGTCAAAAAAAAAGGATGTACAAAGTTATATGTAAAAAAAAATATTTTTGGTAAATCAATTGTTTTTTGAATTCAACACAAACAGGTGGATTTTTATTCTTATTCTGATATTGTTATTACATTTATTACTTTTCACAAAAAAAAATATTCTTTAAATTTTCAAAAATTCAAACAAAAAACTAAAAATCTGTGATGTAAGTACACGAACACCTGTAACATGAATACATTTATCTAGGTTTTACAGCCATTATATGCTCCTAAACAGCAAAACAAAATAAGCAAATTTATTTCATTTCAAAATAAACCAGATATTTTGACATATACACCCTAGTTTACAATGCAAAATGCTACAGTGATGAATATTTAATATGTTTAATTTAAAATCTCACTAATCATGTACCAAGGTATTTAATAAATAAAATTAATAACAGTTCAAGCTTAATATAATCATTAATTTATATTAATAACAGAATAAGCTCAAATGGCCTGGAAATTTTGAAAGAAATAGTAATTTCAGCTATATATTACAGATTTCACATATACATGGAAGAAAACCTCTGTTTTATGTGATATATAAATATTCCAGCAAGAATAAAATCAACTTCATGTCAGTTCATGCGTAGCAATCAACAACCGTGTCACATTTTCAGTTGTGACACTGAATAGTCAATATTAGAAATGGCTGTTAGATATTTGCAACAAACAAACAAAAACAAATAATTCATAAAATAATACGAGAAATTTTGAAAATTATTTAAGAATGAATTCTATTTGACCTTTCTAAAATTATCATTATTGCGAGGAAAAACGTTGAGGAAAGAAGGTTGCCTAAAGATATAAAATGATAGAGACACAAATACAAATAGTAACGAAAACTGTGCCACATCACTTAGAGATCCAACAATTTTACAAATAACAAATAAATTAAAAGATAATTTTAAATCCCTGATTGCTTACCTCCTTCATGAACCTTCGAAACTCGTCTGGATCAATGCCGATATTTTGAGTCATTTCACAAAATCAGTGTCAAAATGCTAACAACTGATGTCGTTGTCACCGACACAGCCGACACTCAGAAAACACAAGCAGCATAAACTTATTAATTATACATAAGAGCAAGCAGGTGTTCTTGAGTGATACAGATAGGAAACCATGACAACTACAAATATTGAAATCCTTCTCTGCTAGCTACTAGTAAATCGTAACAGGTCAGACAGGCTTAAAATACATATTAATTAATATCCTTCGTGATGAAGTTTCTTTACGATGCATGATGTTGACATAGACTAATCACTCACTTCACACTTCAAAAATTACAATTTTCAGACTAATCATAGGTCAAAGGTTATGTATAAAGTAATTATCTTAATTTACATTTTAACACTTGAGTAGGAAAGATAATAATTTTGTCTGTTAATCAATCAATAAGAAGTAGTTCTTACTATGTTAATTGTCTTTTTTTTCCAGTGAATGTTCTGAACCTTTACCCATATTTGCTGGATTCCATGAAAAATAAGACTTCAAAATACTTTTGATCAAAATGTTGTCACTTTGGTGAAAATTGTTGTTAAAAACCAAGAAAAATATAGAAGAATATGTGAAAAAATTCATACAATTACAAAAAAAATGCTAAAATTCAATTGTCATAATAAAGAGCAAATCTATTTAAAGTTACTGAAGTGGAAAATTATCTAGCTTTCAGTGATAAACTACTCGCTGTAAGTCTTCTACAGAGATGAATTATTTATGTATGAATTACATTAAAAGCATTTCCTATTCATTTGGATATTAACATAAAAAGGATACATGCATGTTGCTGTAGGCATTAAACATAGGTACCACAGAGGGCGCTAGGCGTTCTGACCTGTAGAGTCAACTAATTATCACCATAATGTTGACTGTGAGGGGGTAGTTAGAGCATGTCAAATAAGCTCTGGTTTTTTAGATTAGCGCAAGTATATAATAACACTTTTATTAATTTGTCTTTTAAGCAATATTTATATTTAAACAGACATTGTGTTTATAGAAACACCATGCAGATTACTTTTATGTTTTCAAATTTTAACTATATTTTTCATAAATTTCTTTTTGTTTTTTTTATAACAGATGTGATACTGAGCCAAAATGGACCTTGCGTTACCAATTGAAAACAATATGTCAGGTGACATTCTGGCCAGTACATATGTTAATAAATGTTCAAACACAAATTAACCTCCCAGCAGTATATTAAAATCGAAAGGATCAGATATAATAACATTTTAGCGAAGGACTGAATTTGCCCAGTTTGTGACAAACAGGAAATTGAAAACGAAAAACATTTTCTTCTCAATTGTA